GCCGTTAATTCCTTCATAATTTCACATAATTTATTCGTTTTGATAGCCACCGAATTAAAGCAATGCAAAAAGCATATCATTACATATAATCAACTATGAACAAAATCTTTCAGAAACAAAAAAAAGATTATAATACAAATGAATAAACGGACATTAAATAAATGAAAACAAACGGAACAGAGAATGTTTTTATTGTTGCTGAATGCGAACGACTTGAAGTGATATGATCAAATCTGAGTTCTTTTTGTGGCAGTCATAATCCGAATTTGAACTAAAGAACCGTACCCGGACTCACCAAACCTTTATCCATGAATCTTCTGCGAGCGAAACACATCCACCACTGCAACAATAATGAAATAATCTTAAATTTATAAATTTAGACAACCAAACAGTAATCGATCAAAACAAAAAATGAATAATAAGAAATCAATGCAAATGGATGAAGAGTAACCTTAAGCGGTCTATCAGTTTTCGGATCGAAAACACGATCACAAAGACGTAACCCCAACTCTTGCCTGAGCTGCTGTAAGTATGCTCGCATAGTGTCTGAAAAGTTTACAACGTTTGAGCATAACAGTGGCCTATTGATGATGATAATAGCATTGAATGTGATCATTGTAGTAATGATAACCTTCCTCTTGTCCTTTTGCTGGTGCTTTATACATACTGTTGAGTGGAAATTCCATTTCACCAGGGATTGGTAATTGGTGATTCAACGCCAATGAAGTCATATCTTTCACTCCTTGTGTCTTATTCGGACTCTGCAAATCAATTACGAATTTGACCATTTCGTTTGACAACGATTTTTTTCGAAACCAAAAAAAACGCCCACAATGAAGATAATGAACAAACCTTTTGCAATTTTCGTAAGCATTCAGAGATATAGAATGTGAGGTAAATGAGTGTACGATCGGCAGGACCTTTGATTTCGTACTCACGAAAGAAGATATTTGGTTTGAAATATGCAAGTGCTTCATCAATAATGTCTTCTCCGCTATCTGAATTTTTTTCCCATTTGCAATATGATAAATGGAATTGTGCATGAACTCAGTGTACAGAGTCTGACACGTCTTTCCTTGTAAAGCAAATAAAGTGCTGATGGAACGTACTTATTCTGGGTGCAGGTCCTTTGAAGTTGGTGCGAAGTGGAAGAATGGCCATATTGGCAACTAGTAGATTTCCATCAGTGAACTTGGAATGATAGGCCTGAAACGGAGATTTTTGAGCATCACATGTGACTCATGATATGGCTTTCTGGAGGGAGTATCCCGGATAATTTAAGGGATTAAGCTAATTCAGTCCGTCCATACGGTCCGTTGGATCAGTCCATTCACAACCACCCCAAATGATGTAAAAAGCCTGAAACCATACCGGCATCTTGCTACTGATCTATGCAGCACCCGTCGTATTCGTTGTGCGATTCACAAGCCTGCAAAAATACACTCGGAGTGAAATTTTGGAAAACGTCACAATAAATTGAACTGAAGACAGTCGAAGGAGTATGAAGAACGACATTAACGCGGAGAGCAGTTCATAAGATTTGACTCATGCAGCTTGAATGCTGGTTTAAAGAGCAATCAATCTTCCGGCTTAAAGCGATAATTATAAAAGGAAATAAAGATAAAGTTTATGAGAATAATGAGTCACCGTGGATTTCCATGAACCACATTCAAAATTGTATCACGATGCCAAGTCAACTGTCTAGCATTTCGCCACAGCTCAGAACACTCCGAAATATTGGGCTGTGCCCGAAATTCATACTTTCTACAGATTCTTGCTCTTTTTTACGTCGTTCTCACTCTTCTTGAAGCTTTCAACTATTTCGATTCATTCTTTTCGAACGATATTCACAAATTTTCTCATGTTTTAAATTATTGAATAAATGTGTTTACTCTCATTCTCGTCAATGCACTCTTCACTCATAGAAAAATTTCGAGAGTGAGCGATACCTAAAGCATTCGAAATCGTATGGACGAATCTTCCACAAACATCAATCCTGATCATTAATTAGACATAATTAAATGACTGAAAAAAGCATTATCTCATACCCGAACTTGATCGTGCTGATTGCCAGACGATGTAATAAATGAAACTCATTGTCAGGAAGATAAAACTTCCCATCAGAGACATAGATACATCGAAGAAGTCATGCTTGCTATACTGGGATCGTAGAAATATGAAGTTAGTGAGGAATCCTTAGCTTACAGAAGTACCGAACACGACGCACTTAATGCAGCAGGCCAGAGCAGGCATCAAAACAGGAGTAATTCCTAAGTTGTCGCGCCCTATGTCTCCTTTCAGCAGATCATCCTCTCCAATCCCTTTCCCTAATAATCTACCACATCGGACTTTAACGACATGTCAGGAGGTAATCGGAAAACTGAATCAGGATCATGCAGTATACTGTCAAAAATCATCAACAAATCAGAGATCAGAGAAATCACTTCTGTATCATAAAACAAGCATTTTGAAGATATTGTTGAACAACTGCGGAAGAACTACGAAAGAAAAGGGCAGTCAGCAACCTATCCAATTTCTTCTGATCAGCAACCTATCCAGCTTTGTTCTGCCAACCTATCCAATTACTCTTTGCTATTTTTGAATTCCTCCTGTCGACCCTCTCCCCTTTCCAATAGGAAAGTTTGCCCACCTATCGGAATCCTGACTGAAGGTGAAGTTTTTGGTGAACATTTTAGCTGCATTTCATGTTCACTTCTTGCGATTATGCTGACACGTTGTGGGCTGTTCAATGAATCAAAGAGATATCTTTATTCAAGTCAATATAATATAATCAAATACAATAAAATATACACTTTTCACAATGACGATTATCAACGATCATGATAAATTTACAATTGACGATAAATTTACTTGTAGTAGTCTTTGGTGAGTGTTACAAAATGCTGAATACAACGACTCGACTCGTTCGTGAGTGCAGCAGCAATCAACACTCGCAAACCAATCAATCACCGTATCACGTCTAAAAATCACCTCCACCAAAATCGCCAAAATCACCCCCTCCAA